ACACACACACACACACACACACACACACACACACACACACACACACACACACACACACACACACCAGCTTAGAACTTTTGATCAGACACATAATGGGTTTCTCAGTGTATTCTGCTGACTCATCCTAAACCTGGCTGTTTGTAATGGAAAGGACACGGCACAGCAGAGTGGGAGTCAGAAATGGTAAAGTGGCCAGGTGCAATTTTACTCTCCAGGATTTGTCACCCATGTAAGATTTTTTTGGGGACAACAGAGGAAGAACAATCTCGGCACAAAGAACAAAAGCCATATCTAAAGTGTATTCCTGTTCCAAGCAGTGTATTTGAAATAATTGCAAATTTTGGAAGCAGACAGTCGTGCACCTTTAATCCCGCAACTTTACCACCAGGCTACATTCGACTAATACTTATAATACTTCTAATAAAATTACACACCTCATATTGTTTCTGTAGAAATGTTAGAGCCTGACCTGCTCCAAGTTAAAGACGGCAGCAGAGATCCTCTGGATACGATCCACCACCTTCTCAGGGTCTGAAAGCCCCTCAGTCCTCATCACTATGTCCTTGTACAGGTTGAGCTGCCACCTCACAGCAGGGTCATCAGACTACGAGTATGTTTAAGAAGAGCAAGTCAGACGCAGAGGAATATACTAAAGCTAGCATCTACTCACAGATATGAACCTCGTTTCGACTTGCTCACCTTTTCACGAAGGTGCAGGTTCTGCCGAATGTGGTCTTTAACTTCATCATCTGTATCTTTCTGTTATTCAACGAGGGAAAGAAAACCTTGGGCAATGCTTCATATCAAAGCTCTTCAAATCGTTTCACAGTAATTGTTGCTTCTGCCGAGGAGGTTGTGTTTTTGCATGCATGTGTTTCACTCGACAGCTCAAAAAAGTTAGCAGGGGTCATGTTAACAATAAGAATCTACTGTGAAAGTGTGTAAATCACTTATTCGTGTCCAATTATATACAGTATGTGACAGACGGTTTCTCACCATGAGGTAGCGTGTCTTAGCCAGAGAGATGAGCTCCTGATCTCCCGGGGTGCACATGTTAAGACCGATAGGCAGCATCTTCTTCAGGGCGGCTACAATCAGTGAGGTTTGGATGGAGTAGAACTCACCTCGCCGCTTCTTGTGCTTCCTCTCCTGATCTTGTCCCCCAGACTGTGAATTCACAGTGTTAATCTTAGACCACACACACTAGAAAATAAAAGCCAACAGCTCTCCGCATTTAATATGTTTAGTCTTTAAAAGGTGGAGCACACTATTTTCTTTTTGCTGAGACCAATGCTACACCCAAAACAATTCCCCTCTACATTTACACTGATACCTTAACAGTATTTTGTGCCACAGTGGGAGCATTCACACTGGGCTTGAGCAAAAGCCAGAGGCGACTGAAGCGTTTACTTTTTCAGCCTTGGCAAAAATCTGTGACTGGACTAAATCATGGGTGCTACTGAAGCATTAAGAATGGAGTCTCACACCTCAGTTGAAAAGCAGGCTGAGCCAAACTGGAGATGCTGGCTCTGAGAAAACGCTAATCTCCATACTAACATAGATATATAGTCTGACACGCACAGTGTTATCACACATCGACAAAAATATAAATAGTATGGGCTAAACACACCGGAGGATCACAATCCATCAACAGCAAACACACCACAAGACTTTCTACACACGGGCTGGGCTTCATTACTCTAGATGAGACACGTTTCACCCACACGGCAATGAGGAATGACCAAAGTGTCCACGTCAAACGAGGTGATGAATGGAGGCCACAAATAATTGGGTGACATAATGTATAACTGCACTGCAGACTATATAGCACAGGGGCTCAAGCTATTGGCTTTTCTGCTTGGCGACTAGAGCATGTAAGCCAATAAGCTGGCAGGTAAACAGCTCATGCACTGCATCACTCTACCTTTTCCTTAAAGGACTGTTTGAGACAGAGAGAGAGACAGAGAGGGAAAGACAGATAGAAGAAAAAGGACGAGAGGGCAATTAATGGAAGCGCACGGTCGTCGCGTGGACGTGCACTGCAATGAAAACCATTTGTTTGCCTTTAAACATCTAAAGCAGGCAGACAAGAAATAAAACGCGCTAACCCCTGTAATGCTTACAGGGCCTGAAAATATGAAGAAATATTTGTTTAGTGAGGGATGAATGTTAGTTTCCTCAAGTTATTGCAACAAGCAAGTACATTCATACACATGTGCCTAACACACACACACACACACACACACACACACACACACACACACACACACA